CTTCTTGGTTATCAGAACCACTATACACGTTCATGATGTGTTTTCGATATTAGTGTGGTTCCCACATTTGAAAAACTTTTTAGAATCGTGGTGGGATCTTCCAAGTGGTTTAGCATGTAAAACCGACCTCTCCAGATATAAAAGGAGAAAATAAAGGGCCGGCATGGCTGGCTAGCTAGCTAGTGGCTATTGATGCTTGCAACACTAGACGTGAAAAGGAGATGGAACTTTAAGAACGTCATTGGAAACTTCTAAAAGAAACCTAATTTTAAGCAGTTCTAACGAATAAGGGGAAATCAATAGTGCAGATACAGTCACCATTTCTACAGTCTACTCCACGTACAAATATAATGCTAGGAAAAACAAACGCAATGATGGAATATGCCATTGTTTTCCTTCCTTATTTTTATCCACTAGTTTTTTCTGTCATGTGCTTGGACGGGTTATATATTATTTGGCAAATCGAAGACAAATCTGCTAAGATATCCCATAGCTTTAAATATTTAGTTTCCTGCCCTTTTTCACATATTCCAATCCCATATATTTTTTTATGGAATTCAAGAAGTAGAAATCCAAAAATATTTTCTTAAACAGTATTAAGGGGGCAACTGACGTGAAGATGGTGGTGGATATGTTACGTACTGGGAACGGCTGTAATGAATCTGCAAAATTGTAGAAAACCCTCAAAGAGTTTAGTAGCTAGGCATCGTTGTGGTGCCGGCCAAGAACCCTGTGATGATCAAGTCATAAAGCTTGTAATTCTCCATGACATTCGGGTGATAATCACTTCCCAAGTTCCTACAATTGTTTGTTTTTAAGTTTTGTCATACGCAGACAATATGTCAGCAGAGGTTGTGGCTGCATTTGCTCGATCGTAGGGAGCACATCTAGTTTTTAAAGTTTAATATTCTTTTAATTTTTAATTCCCTAAAAAGACAAAAGAGGGCATATTTCTTTTTCTTTTTTTTAAAAGGGATCAGCTGGTGTAGAAGCAACATTTTTAAAGACTAAAAAGACTCACAGACGCATTTCAACATTTCCATAAAACTCTTCTTAAGCACGTCTAATAAGACCGGGCAAACCATGTCCCTCCCCATAAAACTCTAGTAATTTGCAATAAGATATGGCTCTTCAAAAGGAGGGCCCTCACCCTTATGAGGAGCCATACCTTGTTGCCTAGATAAAAAACCGAGTGGGCTGCCATTGATTCCGTGAGTGCATGTGGTGTGTTGGTATTTAAAGGCATTTTGGTAACAAATGTCAGGTTCTTAGAAAAAGGTGAAATTCGTATTTTTAATAGGGTGTAATTAAAAAATTAGGGTAAACTTGGATAAGTAATGGTGTTTAAATAGAAAAACTCTATTTTTATATGTCTGTGATTTATTTCAATAAAAGTTTGCCTTCTGAAAGGAAAATCATTTTTTTCGTATTATATATATATATATATATATATATATATATATATATATATATACAGGGAGCTTAAGGGGAGAGATCCCCATTTTTTTAAAAAAAATGGGGACACGCTCCCCACCGTTAGATTGACTTTAATGAAATTGTGTGGTTGAGATTAAAACACAGGCCATAGAATCTCAACCACAGGATTTCATTTAATTCAAATCCAACGGTAGGGAGCGTGTCCCCATTTTTTTGAAAAATGGGGATCCCTCCCCTTAAGCAATTCCTATATATATATATATATATATATGTTACTGCTACCAAATAAGCATACATATCACAAATACCAAGCTACTAATTAATATATGTAGCAATCTTAACAATGCAACGTAATATATTCAATGCACCCATTTGGTTTTCATCTATCTCCCTCTTTTATCTATTTCTTGTGCCTTCTTTATATCATAGGCATTTGCGTTTGCTTGTGTATCTTATATTAATTTTCTTTTGAGGTGGATAAAGTGAAGCATACGTTATGAACCCTAATGGGATGATGAATGCAAGCAATAATAGATGGAATGAATAAAGAGAAAAAAAGGTGAGGGATAGTGGATATGGGAATCCATCTGTCTTCATTCATATTTGCTATCTTTTTTGGTGGCAACTCCTTTTCTTTTCTTTCCCCTTCTTTATGTTCTCAATTTCTTTCCTATTCAATTGTGCGCGTTCGTGAGGGAATTAAAGAAGATGTTAGATAGTTTCAGACAAGGTGGGGTTACTGTTCTATCGACTTCATTTCGGTCAATACCCCATAATTTGGTTGCATAATTTGGCCCCTCCAATTCAATTTTGGTGTCTGAATTAAGAACTTTGATGCCAACGGTTTGATTATTTTCATTGCTGTTAATTTATTTGGGACAACTTCACCATTGACCTTGACCCTATGTTAATGTTCCAGATATTTAATTTGGTGCAACTGCAGGTTGTGAAAAATTGGTGTAGGAAATTAAGAGAAATTGCAATATATATTTCTTTACTTGTTAGGAAAGAATTTAACTGGAATTTAAAAACATACATGTGATTTTGACTATGAAAAATTGCAATATTATAAAATCAATTGGGACTTATTAGGAAATTACTCCATATGACAGATCTGGAATTAATCACAAGAACTGCTTACCAGCAACCTATTCCAATATAGTTATCAAATAGTCTTTGATTTAGTAATAGTACTCTTAACATAGTTGGAGAAATATCAATTTAGACACAGATGAATGTGACAATAATATATAAGCGTAACTTTGTTGTTAATGAATTATTTTGTTGAGAAAAAAGCTTTGTCGTGGGTGATATTGTGACGTGTGAAAATTATTTCACTGAAATAAAATCGAAAGTGGGTAAAGAGATAAGATACTGGGAAATGAATAACAACACTCTAAAAATAACAGCTATACATGATGAAATAGTTATGGATTTTAAATTACATGAGTCACTTAATACTATGGTCTAGTGATATTCTTATTCACTTGTAAGTGAGATGTTTTAGGTTCAATTCTCTCAAAAGAAGAATTTGAATCACAAAAAAGTTGTTTGAATCGTAATCTGTTACTCAATTCCCATTCATCACTTGAACAAACCCGATCGAAGGACAAAAATACACTAGTTTCCGAGTGCCAATTAGCAAGAGAGAAGTTTCTATTTACCTTCACCACCCTAATGCCATGCTATTTGGCTTGGGTTTCAAGGGGTAATAATCACAGCTGTGCAAAGTCTTACAAAGGAAAAGATTATAGCCCTTAAGCAATAATTAATTAAATTGGCATGCACTTGTATGATCCATCCCTACCTGTACATCTTTATTAAATAGTCCCCCCCCCCCCCCCAAAACACACAATTCAAAAAGTTGAAAGCCACCATTCACCGTTGACCTTGACCATGATACCCCAATACCACCTTGCACCGTCCCACACGAGAAAAATCTACCGGTATCCCTGGTTGTCCGTTAACGGAGACCGCCAGTTAAAGAAAGGAGACAAGGTAGCAGAACGGGGAAACCGCCTGCGTAAAGGGGGGGTGTGGGCCCGCATATTTGGGTCCCCCCGGAGGAGGTGGCTAGTGGGTCAGCTTTATTGTATTCACACATGCACACCCGTCACACGTGGGACACTCTCTCCTTGGCCCCACAAACCTCCCCTATTCCCATAATAAAAGTCACGTACCCAACGAGTGCTGCTGCTGCTTTCGGGAAAAGTCCTCTAGGACTGTACCTCATCGGTGACGTGGCGGACCTCTACGAAGGGCACCAACACATTGGATACGTGGCGGAGATGCTGCAGGGGTTGCTTTTTTTTTTTTGTTTTTGTTTTTATCTATAAAACTTTCAATATATTAAAAAACCAGTACAAATCTCACAAGGAACCCGATAAACAAACAACTTATAAAATAAAAGTTCAAATAGAATGAGAGTTGCAATCCAAAGCTCTCACAAACTTAGGTTCGTAGGCTGCAGGGGTTGCTGCTAACTGCAGAGAATTGCAGCACCTCCCTTTTCTTTGCCGTTACTTTCGTCAAATTCCGTCAATGTCCCTGTAAGTTCGGTCCAATTACGGGAAAAACCCACGACGAAATCCAAGAGTGAATGCAAAGTGAATGGGGAGGTTACGGGTGGTGCTTTTAAAAATGTGTATGGGAGAGATTTTAAGTTTGAATTCTGTAGATTTTAAGTTCGTTGTGAGGGAATTATACAAGTCTTTTTTTTAATATTTTAATCAAGAACGTAAATCTTTCAACTAAAATATAATAAAATTTATTTATTTAATAAATTTTTTTAAATAGAACCAAAATCTGACAAAATCTGCCACTTTCATGTCTTACAATTAGTTTTTGAGATTTGCATAACTCATCACTTTGGTTCTTGAGATTCCAAATCGATAAAAGTGGCTCCTGAGATTATCCACCAGCCATCATTTTGATCATTCCGTTAAAAACTCCGTTAAGTGTCCCATAACTCTTGGTTGGAAGTTTGGGCAATTTTCAAAGCTTCGTAACTCAATCGTTTCTTAACCAAATTTACCCATAATATATTAAAATGAAGATAGGAAAATGTAGAATAAGATTATGCCTATTTTGAAGCCCAATGGTTGCCGGAGATGGCCGGAAAATAGCCTCAAAGTTGACAAATCGGAGTGAAAACTTGAAAACTCGCCTGAAATTGGGAAAACTTTAAATGTTCATAACTTCTTCAATACTCAACGAAATCAAGTGATTTAAAAATGAAACTCATACTTCTCGATGAGACGAAGATAATGGTACATTTTTCGACAACTAACATGTCGTGGTTCGGTCAGAACACGGCTTGAAAGTGGCTATCTTGGTCTCGAGTTAGCCACTTAACGGTGCTTTTAACGGAATGACCAAAGTAATGAATGATAGACAATCTTAGGGACTAAAGTGATGAATTATACAAATCTTATGAATCATTTTGGCAAATCTTAAGGACCAAAATGATTAGTTTTTGTGATTCTTTTCAAGTTTAAAAAAAAAAAATCCCAACAAAAGTTTGTATAAAAATAGGATTTTCTTTATCTTGTTGGAACACCTTTAACTTTTGCTCCTATCTCTCTCCCTTCACTTTCTCTCTCCTCTCTCTCTGCCTAATAAATTGATTCAGGCTCTCTAATCGCCATCTCTTGCGTGCTCTTCCCTTCATCATATCCTCATTCTCTTCAAAACTCTCTCATTTTATTTCTCTCCTATCTTCTTCCTCTCACAACAAAAATCACACCAAAAATCTACTCTGTATTTCCATGGCAGTTGAAGCTCAGCACCACCACCATGCAGTTCTAATCCCACCACAACTGATTCCCAACAGGTACTTTCCACCCTCCAAAAAAAAATTTCAAAACATGGGTTTTGTTTATTTTCATTTTTCTGATTTGGGTTGTTCTTAATTTTTGCAGAGATTTCATCAAAACCAACCAAGGAAATCCAAATATTTACAGTACCCAGATGGATTCCGGCCTTCTTTTGTCGACCGCAATGCCGGAAAATCTGCTTCCGATGTATCAGTCTCCTTTCTATGACGCAAATAAGGCTTCCATGAACAAGGAGGCGGCAGACAGTGGCCTCACATACAACAACATCTCCGATCCCCGGAAGCGGCCGAGAGAACAATTAATCAATGACTTCAACAATTTTTCAGTCCCTCGGAAGACCAAAATCTCTTCTTTTCTCGACCAAGACATTGCTTTTCAAATCCAACAACAGCAATCTGAGATCGACCACTTCATTGCCCAACATGTAAGTTGTCCACCCTTTTTAACCTCTGTTTTAACCCAACCTTCTTGTAAATTTTTATTCCTTTTTTTTTTTTCCTAAAGGTTTGGTGCCATTTTTCAATAACTGATGACAAATTTAAAAACCCAGTTTTTTTTTATTTTTTATTCTCGTTCATGTCATCAGGCAGAGAGAATTGCCATGAAATTTAAGATTTTTATTTTTATTTATCTTTTCCTGTACTGATTTTTATTTGGTTTTTCAGACGGAAAAAGTGAGATTGGAACTCGAGGAGCAAAGAAAGCAGCAATCGAGAATGTTAGTATCGGAAATACAGGATAAATCGTCAAGAAACTGAAAGAGAAAGATGAGGAGATTCAGAGGATGGGAAAGCTCAATTGGGTTCTCCAAGAACGAGTCAAGAGCCTATTCGTCGAGAATCAGATATGGAGGGACTTGGCACAGACAAACGAAGCCACAGCCAATTCCCTACGCACCAATTTAGAGCAAGTCCTGGCGCACGTTAACGACGATCACCACGCTGGCGGCAGCGGTGCCATGGCCACAGCTTTGGCGGATGATGCCCAATCATGCTGCGGGAGCAACGAATGCGGGCGGGATATTGAGGCGGTGGACAGCCGAAATGCGGCGGTTGGCGGTGGCGTTCGCGGTGGTTCTGGTGGTGGAGATAGGATGTGTAAGAGTTGTGGGGAGAGAGAGTCAAGGGTGTTGTTGCTGCCATGCAGGCATTTGTGCTTGTGTACAATGTGTGGGTCCACCCTCCTCAATTGCCCTGCATGCAACTCTGTCATCAATGCCAGTGTGCATGTTAATTTCTCTTAGGAATTTTAGTGCTCAGAAAATTGAACAAAAACATTGTCAATACTTTTTGGACAAAAAGAAAAAAAAAATAAATTAGAGTATAATTTTTTTTCTTGTTTAATTAATTTTTCCTTCTCTATCTTCTTCTCTTTGGATAGATACAATTTCCATCATTTTTTTTAATTTTATTTCTTTTAGAGCAATGTGCATGATGAGTTCATACCTAATCGGTCTCACTGCATTAAGTTATTTCCTTTGATAGGCTTGATGCCACATTCGGTTGTTATCCAAAAGCACGAGAATTTTGCAATGCACAAATTGCATTGTACGGCTGGATTCCTATAGATTTATACATTCAAACATCTATACATCTCATATCTCCATATTCCACACAAATATCCTTCCAAAGCAAAGGAAAATGAAATTATCAAACTCTTACCTAGCCCATATTTTAACTTTTTAACTTGAGGTATGCGCTTGCTTATCAAATTTGGTGTGGTAAGGAATCTACAGGATCGGAAAGCTTCTTGGGTGGTGGGTTGAATATATGTTGTAAAGAACACGATGCATATGAAATGAGGGCACCTGTGATGTTGCTGTTCACTGTTTCAGGTTCATGCATTATTATGCAAATGCAGAAGGCAGCAGCAATGCCAAAGCCTTTTAAAAGTTGGGAAGACAGGCCTAAAAATGTCATAAAAAGCAAAGGTTAAAAATGGAGGATGCCAACAATCGTGATGCGTCAAAATTTGCATCATTGTGTTCATCTACTCCAACGTGGGGACCTCCTTTACTATTCAATTGCTCTTTCGTAGCTTTCCAAACTTTTCATCCGTTTCTCTTTTTCTGTTGTAGTTATCTTTTCCAAATTATGGGTTTTTTGGGAATTTCCTTTACCACTCTTTCTTGGGGTGTGAGTTGAATACTTTTGTGAACTTTTCTCATTGTTTTATTGGGGAGTTCCAGTCATTTTGTGCTTCGGAAACTTTGGTTTTTGTTCCACGTTGTTAATCACGTATACATGGAGTAGTGAGCAATACCATTAATTGAGAGTCGTGAACAATAATAATTTCTACATACTGTAGAAAAATAGTGCTCTAATCTAGGCAGGTTTAAGTCTCTAAGCTAATATAATTCGATCCATTTGGTTGATTACTTTGGTTAAAAATAGAACTCACGTCGATTAGGTGTTAGAAGATTTCGAAGTCCTTGAAATTTGAGTTTAACTAGAATCGTGATTCGTAAATGTTGGCAAGCTAAACTCGAACCAAACTGACCTCGATTCAAACTAAACTCAACGGCTTAATTAAATTAATCCATACACAACCCAACTTTGCTTAATCTCAGCTATATAATAATTTGCCAGTCTCATTTGTATTTGATTAGGGTTTCCACTATTGTCCAATAATGCTATCAAGTTGGGCACTATCTCAATGAAGAATGGCAATCATGACGATTGACGAACACTTTGCTTGTTGAAGAAAATATAGCTTTTAAAGGATGCCAAAATCCAGACCTCGCTTATGATCATGGGAACACCACAAACCAAATTATTTTGCTTTTTTCTGAAAAAAAATAATTTAAGTAATTAGACAATCATTAAACATGCGCAAATATAAAATGGAAAAGCATGATCGATCTTTCTTGTACTTCTCAATTGAGAGATGAATCGAAATGATAATGTTTTCATATCCTCTCCCCACCATGTCCTTATACCCTTTCCTTTTTAAACTATTTTATGCTATCTTTTGATTCTTTATCTGTGAGTTCATTCCTTTTCGATGTCTCCAGTTTATTTCTGACAAGGCACAAAGGACACTGTAATTGAAAGGTGACCCGTATCCACCATATATATTACTCATTTGTCTAATCAGTAGTCACCAACCTCTCTCTCTCTCTCTCTCTCTCTCTAAATTGATTGTGTTTGCATGTAGTCATGTTAGCTGGAATGTGTTTTACATTCAAATACTAAAATCTGGGGGAGCAGCTGCAGGAGCTAAAGACTCATAAAGTAATGATTTGGTATCTTGAAATTTGGTGACTAATTTTTAGTTGTTAGATCCGTAATTAAGACTACAATAATCAAAATAGCCACGAATTTCGGAGAACCAGTCTCAAAGCATAGGATACCGGGATTAGGAACAATAGAATTTTCGTATAATGCATATATTACTCTGAACTCTGATAATTTTTTTTCTATACAAAGTCTAAACAAATTTTAAAAAGAAGAAAGTCAAAATTGTTTACACATTATCGAAACTACTTTTGTTCTTTTTTTCTTTCTAGATGATCAATACATGTGACAATCTACAACCATGCGTAACTCATGCTCAAGGCTCATATCCATTATCTTTCTAGTTTCTACTTGCAACAGCAAAAATGGAATGATCTTGCACATTCAATATATACTGCACCAGAAGAACGTCACCATGCCGTGAATTTCTCTTCTCCAACTACATGTTGAAAGTTGAAACTCTGTTTTCCTTTCTATAAATAAATAAAAGAAAATACAAACTATTATTATATAAGAATAAGGTTTTGGTACAAAATAAATAAATCAACAAGTAGTTTTGAATCGACCCTAAACCTTAACTCAAACGGCATGAAACGCGATGAAGAGGACATCAATTCTAGGGTTTCATATTGTTTTCGTTTCTAACAAAAGAGAAATACAATTCGTCACTAGAAAGAACATTAGACCCGAAGTTCGCTTCTTGAAACACATGTTGAAGTTCTATTTTAATTCCATGCAAGTAAAAGATCTCGATTTCGTTCACAAAATTAATTATTTGACACAAAAATTTCTTTGTATGATTTGTTATAACTGCTTTTGTTTTTCTCTTTTTAATAAATGCAAGTCACAACCTGCAACACGACTAATCGATCCATGCACCAAGAGCCAATTCAGTTTATGTCTACTCGCAACAACAAAAACTCAATGACTCTATTGAATTTAATTCACAAGAATACCGACTATAACGTCGGCCCAGAAACTACCCGCTTCTCGAAATGCACGTTGAAACTTTGTCTAATTCAAATCATAATAAATGAAAAATCTGTCATCCTGAGAAGTCTTTAAATATTAAGAAATTATAATAAACGAGTTCTTACTCGAGTCATCAATCAAAGAATCTTTCAGAACAATAAAGTTGCGTGGTACATTTGGTTTCGTTGTATTATTTAAGGTTTATGTTTTAATAATTTCAAGAAACCAATATGAGTTGCCTGATTTTACTATGGATAATGTTAGAGAAATTCAAATTTTAAATCAAATTTGCAATAAAATAATGTGTCATCAATAAAAAATAAACACGTTAATCAACCTTATGTAATAATTCAATTACCAACAATCAAATTTGGTTTTAAAAAATCGATCTTCCTAATATTATCCTTTGCTATAGGCAAGTTGTGGCCGTCATGAAGTCAATATGGCTCCTTATAAGAGTTCCGAAGGTGAACTGATAGAATTTAATTGTTGGATCTAACGTCAAATGATGCTTGGAATCGCGATCTCCTTCTCTGCACAGTTCAAATAAGAGCTTGATTCCAAAGTTTTCGTCTATCATATATATGATCTTGCAACGGTTGATTATTAGTTTTGAATCATCTGTCTCCTTCAATTTCTTGCTACATCTAAAATTATTATTGTGGAGTTTCATATTTTTTGTTTGCAACTACTTCCTATTGAGGTCATATTTTTAATTTTGTTGATTGAGTCTAGTATTCACCTTTCTCTTATATAAAATATGATTTTTCTCTGTCTTTTTTTTTTTTTTTAACCAAAAAACCTCCAACAGTAGATTTGAGGTTTGATTCCCTTTTAATTTAACAAGAAAAAGAAAAAAAAAAGCAGCTTGAGATCTTCTTAACCATAATCTTTGAATTTCTTAAGTGCATTGCCAAGGCAAGGTTTTTATTTATCTTTTCTCTACAGAGAAACAATACTTTATTGCAAATTGTGGTGCCTATAATATGGTAGCAGTAAACAAAGTATCAAAAGTGAAAACAGCACTCGCGTTTGTTCTTGTTTTGCTTTCCCATTTACAGTCATATGATGAATGATAATATCAACAGTAACCTCAAATTTCAGGCAAAATAGTACGTGATTTTTACAGTGTGTTTAATATTGTCTACCATCACTCCATGCACACGAAGAAAACAAGAATAAAGCTGTAGACGAACAGAATTAGCTAGTGGGTGGGCGGGAGTGTTGGTTAGCTAATGACGTGGGCATCCAAAGTGCAAACTCACATGACACGTCAGACTATACCACAGATGTGATCAGACTTGAAGTATGTTGGTGGGCCATCACACGGCCATATTATTATAAATATTGCTTGGTTTCAGAGCATGCCATTATCAGTGAGAGAGGAAACTCACCCGATCTTTTTTCTGAAGATTTTGGAAATTCTTTAATTATATTTATTTATTATAAATTATGTAGTTAATTTTTGTTAAGCGATATTTATATTTAATTTTAAATAAAAAATTTATAATAATTTATAATCGTATAATGTATAATGAACGTATGTAATTTGAAACTCACTCCATTATCAGCAACTTCAGCAAAATGGTGCAACTGCCATAAAGTATTTGACTATCCCAAACATGAAACAAGAAGGAGATAAAATAAATAAACTATTTTGTATTATTGTGTGTCTTGTAGCTAGGGTTGTGCTTTGTGGCACCGGCACGCCAACCCCTGAATGAAACGGGATTAAAAATAATTAGGAGTATTTAAATACTTTGATAGTGAACTGCAGCCAGTACGAGTACGACTAAATACCATATATATAACATTGAAAAGTATGACTTTTTTTTAACATATTTTTATGCTTTTTCTGCTCTTTTTTTTAAGGATCGAAATCCATTAACTTTCATGATTAAGTTACAATCAAAGATTGTATATGATTGTGGTACACACCTGAAGATGAACGAGATCGTGAAATTTTGTAGGGTAATTTGTAAAATGATGAATTTACTAATCTTAGTTGTTGAAATTAAGTTAGTTCATATGTTGTTAATATTTAAACCGAAACATCATTCTTACTTGATTTTGAATATTTTAACAATTAGAGAATTTGTAAATTCATCATTCAATAATTTCCCACACGTATTTAG